CGTCATAATATTCAAGTAGATAATAGTTTTGTTGTACCATATAATTCACTGTTAAGTCTTAAATAAAATGCTCATATAAATGTTGAACTATGTTCAACTGGTAAAGCTTTCAAATACATTAACAAATATATTACAAAGGGTTACGATTGTGCTCGAATCGGCGTCCAAGTAAATTCAAACAACAATGTAGAAAAAGTTGTTGATTATGATGAAATCAAACAATATTTAAATTGTCGTTATATTAGTTCTCAAGAAGCAGCTTGGCATCTTCAAAATTTTCCTATTCACTGCCAATCTCGTTATGTCGTCATGTTGTCTATTCATTTGAAAGATGGCCAATCCATCTTTTTCGAAGAGAATCAAGCTAAAACTGCTTTGCGACAAGAGTCAGCCGTATGCACGACTTTAACTGCCTATTTCGATTTAAATGTTTCAGATTCGAGTGCTCAGTAATATTTATACCAAGATATTCTTAATCATTATCCCATGTTGCAAAAACTGGATCAGTTTTAGCGGTAAACCGCGGTATTTATCAAAACCGGCGGTTTGGGGCGGCTAACCGCCGATTTTAAATGGCACCGCGGCTCTTTACAAATTTCACCGATCAGCCGCGATTTACCGCTAGTTTTTTCGGTGAAGAAAAGACGACGAGTGTGTATAGAACGAAAAAAAAAACATGTATACATATATGTGCTCGCCGATCTTTCGCTCATTTTGCTGGTTTGCGTGATTAGATAAAATAATGAAAAGAATAAGAGGCGCAGTATAGATTTAATTATTTTTATACATTATTTTTTCATAATTATTTCGTTTTTAAAAGATTAAGTTTTTAGTATTTATTTCTTTTTATTTTAATATTTTAATATTGACTTCTCTTTTAGATTAATTTTTTTATTTAATTTTCAGATTATTTTTTAAATTGAATTTGTAAGGTTTTTTTAAACATTTTTAGATTAAGTTTTGTATGTTATTTTTTCAGATTATTTTTTTTATATTAAAGTTTCACATTATTTTTAACACTCATTTTTTCTATTCATTTTTTAATATTCTGTTTTTAAATTCATGTTTTCACATTTTATTTTTAATTTAGTGTTTTTACATTTTATTTTTTTGAAATGTTAAATAAAGTTTTTTGCAATAATTATTTTTGCGTTTATTTTTTAATATAAAGTTTTCTTTTTTTGCTATGTACAATTTTTCTTGCTTGTATTTTTTTTTGAAATAAACTAGTTTAATTCAAAGATAACTGTTAAATTGAAAACAAATATTGGCGAGACCAAGGCTTGAACAGTGCCGATAAACTGCGGTTTTTGTCCGGTTTTCATTACATGGGATGTATCTAAAAATAAAAAATGGGTTAAACGGTCAGAGGTTTCTCGTCACGGAGAAAAAACAATCGGTAGAAGTATTTCTGTATCTTCCAGAGATGTAGAAGTGTGTCATCTTCGTTTGATTTTGCTCTCAGTAAAAGATCCGGACGCAACATCTTTTGAATATCTCAAAGAACTCTATGGACAAACCTATTCGACGTACAAAGAAGTTGCACGAGTTAGAGATTTAATTAATGATCCCAATGAGTGACATAATTGTATCTATGAAGCATCAAATTATATGATGCCTAAATCTTTACGATCATTATTAGCTACAATTATTTGTCATTGTTATCCTGCAAATCCTTTGCAAGTTTTCGAAGATTTCAAAGAAAATATGATTGAAGATTTTATTCAACAAGGAAACAGTGTAGAAAAATCTCTAAAATGATGCGTTAATGATATCCGAACGCAAATTCAACAAGATGGTTTCGATTTTAATCAATTTTTACGGTTTTATAGTTTCGAAGATATTTCAGATCGCGAAGTTAATTTAGTTAACTGTACTGTTAATAGTAATAATTTATTATGGAATGATCTTAACAGTTATCAACTTTTAGGTGCAGATACTATTTTAAAATCGACAGTCGGTTTGAACTCGCAAAAATGTTTTTATATAGACGGACCCGGTGGAAGCGGGAAAACATCTGTATCGTGCCCTAATTCAAAAATTTATTCTCATTGGTAAAAAAGATTAATCGTGGCATGGACAGGAATAGCTGCTACTTTATTACCAGGTGGAATTACATGCCATTCAGCATTTAGTTTACCATTAGACCTTCCTACTGTAAAATTTCCTAGACTTACTCAAGCGAAAAAAGAATTTTTGAAATCGATAGATTTGCTGATTTGGAACGAAGCTCCCATGGCACCAGGTACAGCTAAGAAATGTAAAGAACGATTGTAATCATGAATAGGAGAAGCGAAAACTGATCCGATATAGCGGAAAGATGAACCGTAGCTCGAAATAAAAGATGTAGCAGTTGGCGTGTCACTGGAAGACTGTCTATGTTTGAAACTACAATCTTGGAGATACAAAACGATCGGTATTTCAGTGGAGCAATCGAATTTTTCACGATGCATGGATCAATCTTTCTGGCATTTATATATTACAAAGTTAGTCGTATTTAGAAGCTTGAACAATTTTTTTCTATATTTTCCTTTCTATAAATATTTTTTCTTTATTTGAATGTGTACGTCTGCCTAAGTCGATGGAATGTGAACATTATATGAGTTGGTTATAACACATTCACAGCATTTTCCTATTCAAAGACTATTCTATTGTGATCAGACATGTAGATATTGTTTAGACGTTATAAAACAACAGACAATATTTATTTGAGATTAAATAATAAATATTTCATAAGTATATTAACAATAAATATATATGAGATCATGAAACACTGTTTTAGTATTAAATGTTTGTCTTTCACGTGACATTTTTATTGTTATTTAGAATCATTATGCACAGCAGCGATTGGTCGATTTCTCTGCAGAACTCATATTTCATTCGTTATTACATTAGATATAGGAATAAGACTTTAATTGTGAAGCAAGCAACGACGGATGAGTTTGAAAACTTCCTTGCGAAAAATGGTACCAGTCAATGTATATAAAAAGAAGGTAGCTGTATGAGCGAAATATGTCATAGTATTTAGTGTTTCACGAGCATAATCTTCTTGGGCAAGCCGAAATGAGCTCTTTTTCACATTTGCAGTAAACGCTACATAGAGTCGATGGATAGAAGATGGTAAAATAAAGATTATGACGACGAATACTTGAGCAGCTAACATGCGTAAGAGTTGAGTATTTCTACGCCTAGGAACCCGATTGTTTTCATCAACCGTCGAGACCACTTGACGATGCTGACGAATATTGCTAAGTGTAAGAGAACCAAATAAAAGCATGAAAAAAATTGGACAAAGTGAGTAGAGAGTCATATGCCAAAATGCAATGAACGTACGGTAGAATCCTGTTTGACTAGTGCATGATGGAATAACGTTACCATATTGATCAACTGAATAGATTATTTCATAGTAAGCAAGCATGTGACTGTACAAGACCATCATTGTAACGATAGTGGTTACAATGACCACTCGTGCGGTTTTTATTGAACTTAAGTGACGAAGGCGCGCGTTTCGTGTACTGCGAAGATAGCGATCTACACATGCAAATGCAATCAACCAACAAGATATGGCGCGCACCGTAAAGAAACTATAATATTCGATTTTACATATTCCAAGATTGATAAAAGACAGACCTATATTAAAACCATTCGTTAATATGCGCACAGGCAACACAATGAATTCAATAAACAAATTGAAAAATGTTGCTGACAAAAAGTAGAGTGTACATGGTTCGCCACGCAGTGTTGGACGCGTAAAAACATACACATTTAAGATAAGACCAACTGCACCTGGTACAAAACTGGCAATAGATAGCACAAGTACAGTTATTGATGTTGCCGCACTCAGTTGTTTGATCGCATCGTTAATATTCGACATGGAGTTAACGTAAGTGTTATTTCTTCAGCGTACGTGTATGATCAAAGTCTAATACATAGAAAAATAACATCTCATCTTTGTCTACTGTTAACACATTCGAGGCGGCATCCTCTTATTAGGAATAATCGAAATAGGAAACATCTCTTTTAATAGATAACTATGGTGTAGATGCAGAGATTCTTATGCGCAATGCCTATCTATCATTTCAAATTAAGCGTAGATCAGAAAAAGTCGAAAAAATGGCAGTTAATTTTAATGCTACACTATAAAATCTTCAAAATTTTACTTCGTCATAATTATCATGCTTGCATTAAACGCCATTTCTAAGCGTAGATAAAACAACAGTGATTTTGCATTGCTGTTCAGCAATAGAACGATAACAAATCTGGTTGTTTCAACTCATATGATCTCGTCGAATCAATAAAAAAAAATTTTAATGTAGTTGTATAGTTCTATGTGGTTCTAAAAACTTGTTCACAAAACAACTACTACGGTGTCACGATGAACTGGAAGAGGTAGTTCATTGTCATCCTCGGTAATGATGTTTATTCACTATTTCACATCTCTACAATGTGCCTACAATACATCCCACACACGCTTATATAAGGAAGATCAAGAGAAAGGGAGATTAGCAGAAAAAAGAGCAATAGAGAGAAAATAAAGAGAAAAGAGGAAGAAAGATCAGTTGTAGGTGGTTTCAATGGCAGCACATACAGGAAAACGTGAAGCTAGGTTTGCTCACAAACAATCTTCACTATGGTTTAAATGAACGTGAAACAGTAATATAGCAGTCAATCAAATGGCATTCAAAAAAGGTCTTTTGTTACGATAGGGGTAACTATCTAATGAAACATCAATGCCATGCAAAACTGAAAAAAATGTTAAACAGATTCATATATCTGCCAGTGTAACCATGTTTCGGTTCGTAACGTGCTACTGAGTGTTTAAACTACTGTAAATCAAACACGTTTCTCGTCGTTCAAAATGCAACATTTTTTATGCTTAAGCGCGTTAATATTAGAAACGCTTGAGTAAGCTTTCTTCTATAAACATGTCTCACAACACGTTTATTATTTTTGATGCATCCAAGCGAGTCTAAAATAATAATATTTCATGATTTCTGAGCTCGCTATAACATAGAAACATGTTTTGACGTCATTTATTCTTAAACACGTCCAGATACGTTCGACGATAGCCCATATTTTTTCATAAACCAAAAAAGAATGCCGCTCTGTTCTAGTATTGATCATCTATTATCATTATATGACCGATGTACTTCAATCTGTCATAACTTTAGGTTATTGAATAAAACCCATGAGATAAGATTCGACCGCAGCCTCTATGTAGAGCAGAAGGCAGAGAGCTTACTACTGAAAAATACATGTTCATCGGTTCTTTCCTTGTATTGACATCAGGCTTCGTATTAAAAAACATATCCATTTCTATCACAATCAGTTCATGAAGTGATGCAAATGTGGAAACAGTTTCTTTTTGCGCATGTTTCAGTGATATCGGAAATAAGTACACGATAATTTTCACCTTTGATTAAATTTCTTAAAATAATTATGATAGGTTCTGAGTTATATCCGATGAGACAAATCGGTTTATTTAAGCTACTCTCTCTCTCACCCTCAAAAGCCGATCTTAGCCCAGGAACGTTCAAATCTCATGAAATATTCAGGATATCATGTAGAGAAGCTATGCTCAAAATATCAGTCTTGTAAAGTGACGTTTTTGAAGGATAAGCAAAAAGAAGAGTCAAAAATAGCACATTTGGTAACTCGACATTCTCGATGAACTTTGATTCTGCATATTTATGTTTTTTTAACATTTAAAAGTGCATGTTAGACCGCAGTGCCTGATAAAATCGTTTTCTTTTTAGTTCTAATTTTTTTATGCTGAAAAAAGCTTAACAAGCTCAACCACCAAAAAATTAATCATTTATTTATAGTAGCGCATTTTTATATAATAATAAAAAACCTCAACTCAAAAAGACACGTTCTGCATCTTCATTTTCTCTTTCAAGCGTGAGAACAGGCCATCGGGTACAGTAAAGCACCTTCAACAGTTTGGTGGATACACTATGAAACAAATATAAACATAGAAACACACGAAAAAGATTTGTCCGTTTGTTTTGAAAAAGTATATCTATCAAGCATAAGGTGACGAAAACGATCGAATTTTTTATGGGAAAATATAACATGCCAAATAAAACGTCATATTGCTTTTGGAAGATTCTAAAGTTTGGTTTGAATTTTTATTTAAATAAAATAACTTATGATTAAACGAAACAATATGAAAAAAATGGTTTCCTCACTCCGAATTGAAAGTTCAATCATTAAATTATGCTTCTGTCGAATAATAGAGTTCATCCAACAGCTCAACCAAGTTTATTTTAATAAGTTAAATACTCAAATCCCTTGTCTATGATCTATGTGAATAACACAGATATCTGATTTCTTCTTTCCTAAGCATTATTTTCTCTACTATGATGAAAGATAAGTCAAAAATCCTTATATTGAATTCCATAGAATCAAGCTGATAAGTGTTGATAAGAGAACATTTATTATTTATCAACAATTTTTCTTCGATATGATATGTATTAAAAGATTTTCTATACTTTGAATTAATCTTTTATATCAATATTATATTAAATCAAATAAAAAATTTCAATCTATTACAAAATTTCTCCATGGAAAAACAGCACTCTTTAAGATTATCATACATGATCGAATAACAATAAATTAAAATTAAAATGTCACTTTATTCGCCAGAATTAACCCACTACTACCAACACTTTTCGTAAGAGCACTTTCATCAGCTAAAATAGTTATTTGTGTTATTGAACCATGACTTAATGTTATACTTAAACATGCTTGAATTAGAAATTGCATTATATTAATAAAAAGAAAATTAAAAATTTTATTGTGATTTTAACTTGAATCTTACATGCAAATATAATACCGTAAAATATTTGCATAAAACATAATCGTACAATGTGTTTATTTATGTTGTTTACTTCGTTCTCGATGAAAACATAGTTCGAAAGCTGCATCAATTATTGCTCTATCATCATAAACTTATCAATACATAATTATTTGGAATTAAAAATAAAGGTGTTTTTTTTTTATCTTACACCAACATCACGCTAAGAAATTCCAGCTTAAGGATTAGATGAATCCTATATATTCTAAATTTTTTTTATCAACTAATGTTAATGTCGTTTCATTTAATATTTGAACATTATCAACATGTTGACTATGTCGAATTAAATAAAAATGACGTGACCACTTAAGACATGGGTGTTGAGTGTGATAGCGGGTGCACAGAGGAGTACTCACACTTACAGCCACAGCTATACCCACTGAATATCTCTCGAACACAATTTCAAGTGATTTGTATA